GGTGAAGCAGTGTTAAGAGGCAACCCATTAACCAAGAGAAAATTAAGATACAACACATGTTCTGAGAAGGGGAAAAAAACAGCAACACAAATTATACATGTTTATGCACATACAAAATCAGGTTTTACTGAAGGAACCATCCTTCTTCACCTATTTTGCTTACGCAAGTTGAGCTTTGGTCTTTAATCCTACCTCTACACGTTCTATCAGATGGTGTACAGGTTCCTAAGCCTATGGGGCTCTTATCATACCTGCATTTTAAACTGTTTGGAATTGGCCTCCACCATCTTAATTTAATTTAAGATGAAATTTGTTGAGAAAATCTTGAAGTAAGACGGGGATCGAACCAGCATCCTGAGTAGCTCCAGATACATGCCTTAACACATGGACCACGATATGCTAAAAATTACATAACCTGGTATTTGCCCGGATCCACTAGAAGTCTGGAGGCACCAAGCTGGTACCCAACCCATGTTTGACATATCTCTCTCATACACTCTGGTATGGGTAATGGAGTTCTCCACCAACCGCATCCTTCAAATACACAAGGTTATATAATTTATAGCATTTTGTATTGTGGTCCACATATTAAAACATGCATGTGGAGTTTCCAGGATACTGATTTGATCTATGTCCTGCTCCAAGATTTTCTCATATAGTATATCATGTTACTGTGATTCCCTTGTTTAAAAATGTATTGATGTTGAGGTGGAATAAAATACAGTTACTTGCAAGTTTATTGGAAAAGTTATGGCTGGAATCAAGAGAAAGTCCTATAAAATGACACCTGAATAGACACTACCACAATACCCAGATATATTTTATCCTCAGTGTCTGGATACCAGCAGCCCTATGTTTGGCATCTCATTTTTTAGGAACTACGCATTAAGATCACACATTACTGGCCATGGTATCAGGGTATCAGTACTTTTTAGGACTATTAGTATATTACTATTTTTAGTACTATTAGTACAATTAGTACAGTACTATTTTAGTACTATTAGTACAGTACTATTTTTTAATGGTGTTTGAATATTGATTGGCAACATTTTAGCCAAGAGCCTCCTTGGGCTAAACACCCACTGCACATTCCTTTGAAACTAATCATTAAAGGTTTGATATCAATATAGTATGATGAGTGTCATACATTGTGGCATTTTCAATTGATTCAGATTTCTGAGTCTATCCCAGTGTCATCATACAGATTAAGAACTATACCCTACCTAAAAACAAAAATTAAAAGATACTGTATATCAAATATGACATCCCTAAATTTAACCAAAAACTCAATTTTATTACAGTATGAACCATGCACAGAATAAATAACAAATAGATACTTTTAAATTTTGCATTTGATTGCTTTAATGTTTCAATGTACCTAAAGTATAATTGAAGTTACTAACAATAGGCAGTATCATTCTACACACTTTTGCTAGAGCTATTGGTTTTTTTGGGGCACTGGCATCTGGTTACCCGTGCCTGTGTTGCCGGGTTAACTTGATTTTGGCAGTGGAAATGTCTTGACAAGCCCGGAGACAAGAAACACTGCAAATTTCTGTACACATATACGGTAATCCATAAAGATATCAACAACTTGATTAGTGTTGTCATTTCAATATTTTCAGTTTAGGGGCATTAAGGGGGTTTAAGGGCACAGTTTAGGGGCACTGAAGGGAGTTTAAGGGTACAGTTTAGGGTCACTGAAGGGGGTTTAAGGGCATAGTTTAGGGGCACTGAAGGGGGTTTAAGGGCACAGTTTAGGGACACTGAAGGGGGTTTAGGGGCACACCTTAACATGAAGCAAAGCACACAACTGTGAGCTTTGCTTCTGATGCTAACTTTTGAAAGAGAAAGGTTGCCCCATAAACAGTGATTACAAATTTGTTAATCTTGTATTCTTCAAAGGCAGAAATTGCAAACCAAGATTGAAGGAATGGGCACCATGAAGCTTACTGTCATAGAAGGGAGGTGATGAGGGCCATGTGATGAGGGGCCAGGTAATAAGGGCCAGGTGATGGGGGGCCAGGTGATGGGGGCTAGGTGATGGGGGCGAGGTGTGGGAGCCACATGTGTGAGGGGCTCCTGGCCACCCACCCTGCAGGGGCCCCACATGCACATGGTCGCTGGTGAAAGCAAACTCCTTGCTCAATAACAGCACTGGCACGGGGTGCCCTTTGCTCCCTCGGTACCTGCCACCCCAGAGGCCGCCCAGAGGGGGTTTGCTGGGACATTTGCACAGGACATGGTACTGACTTTAAGGGTTTAGCTAGATAAAACTCCTCTCCACGCCTCCCAAGAGAAATCTTACCATAATACATCGTTCAAGTTCAAGGTCATTGCAGTACAACCCCTTTCCTGCTCATGTCTCTCGCTTTACTAAAATTAACAAGGTTCATTAGGTTAGTGTCAAGCAGAGCTGCCTTCCCAACCCCCCGCGAGCCGAGGCAGCAAGCACATAAAGCAACAGAAGGCAAATGACACGAAGAGGTGCATGATCCAAGGGGCCAGGAGACGAAGGTATCCCGCACCGTTCGCTCACACCAGCCTACTCATCTAACACCATTCCCGCAGGAAGTACGCCTTATTACGCCTCCCTGGGCCCCGCACGCCCTCCAGCCGCCCTTAGCGACCCTACCTTGCTTAATAGTTGTGTGTTGAATGGTGAATTTCTTGTTATTTACTCCATTTTGCTGTTTAGTTTCTATTGCCTCGTGCACGCCATATCAACACACAACTATAGAGACCGACCTCATCTGCTCCTCCAGCCGAACAACCGACGCCCGACTTGCGCACCCACAATTAACCCCATACCGCCTCTCCTCACCCACTCACACCCACTTCAATCCGATAGAAACCCTCATTGGTATTTTATAGAGCCCCTGGGAGGCGGTGTGAGGAGCGACAAGGGAAACGAGAGGCGTAGAGGAGAGCTGTGGTGGGCGGGGAAGAAACAAGTGGCGGTGGGGTCCGGGTCGGGAGGAGGCTCCAACCCGCCTCCTCGCCGCACTTATGATCCCACAGGAGGATACTATGGTCACTTGGTACACCACACGGATCACACACGTATATTTTTACCATTTCGGATACAAAATTTGTACGTTTCGTATATATTTGTGATTGGTTAATATTAACACCACAATATAATGCTATTAGCCGTTAAAATCTTGTACTTAACAGGCATATAATTATTAAATGAAGTTGAATGATGTGGTGGATATAATCCGGGTTTTGTAAGAACAACGTCCATCAGCGTTAACACATCAAATCTGAAGGACCTCCAAACATAATCGAACGCACAAAAATACTACACTGTAGCCAGTTTTTGGGTAAACTCAGATTACATTTAATATGTGATAGTTATACTTGTATATAATAATATGTATTAAAGGAAAACGCCCAATATGTAATATTAATTAATAAAAACAAATTCAGAAGCCACATGCCTGTCTCTACGTATCTATTGTGATAAAATATTTTAGGCGCTCGAGTATTTGTATGTTAGCTAGCGTTCACAGCTGATTTGAACGACGGGTTGCATAACCAACCCGTCCTCTTAAAAATAACGTCGCTTTTCGCTCGTATGCGCGCTATGGCCAAAAATGGATATAATTTTAAATGAAATTGGCTCACAAAAGTGATGTTTTGTCCCGTTTTCTGTTTGAGTCCTTCGGCTTACTCGGTAAGGTTTGAAGAGGAAACTTTCAATTGACGTTTTTCATGACATAATGGTTTGAAACTTTAGATTCAGATTCAGATTCAGATGTTTATTCAGGTAAGGTATATACATACAAGTGATGTTACATTAATGGATTGATATATAGATAGAGCTAGTACATACAAAGCCTAAAGCCACTATTACGCAATGCGTTTCGGGCAACGAGGAGAATTAATTTAATTCTAAGAATTTAATTTTAAGAATTTTAATTAATTTAAGAATTTAGGAGAATTTCCTGCCCTCGTAACCTACCAGAAGACCCTTAACTTGCTGTTTTAGAAAACAAATCCCAATTTTTTTTTAATTTTCCATAGAATAATGATCAAATCAAAATAAATGTTGAAAAAACACGTTCCAAATGCGAACACGCATTGATTGCTGATGAAGTGACGTTTTTGAGATTGACATAACTAGCTAGCATATAAGGTTGCTGATGGCTGAACGTCTCGAGTTGTGGCTGTCATCATCCACGAAGTTAGGTGTGATGGAGAATCTAGAGAGCATTGATCTTGTAGATAACAGTAAAGCTGCAACCTCATTATAGTGATGGGAGAGTGGGGAAGAGACTTCTTAGATGGTATTAGGTGAAATGGAGACGAGGCTCTTCAGCTGGTACTGCAGAGGGAGGGAACGAGGCTCCTTAAATGATACCTAGAGAGATACTTACGTATTATTTGAAGACATGCACTAATCATATGATCAATAACCATATATTTATTCATATTCTTAACTTATTATAAACTTCTATTGCCTTATTTTTGGTGATTTTGTTGTCTATTTGCCACGTTTTTGGTCATTTTAGTGTCTATTGCCTCGTTTTTGGTAATTTCATTGTCTATTGCCTCGTTTTTGGTTATTTTATTGTCAATTGTCTCGTTTTTGGTAATTTTATTGTCTATTACCCCGTTTTTGGTCATGTTATTGTCTATTGCCTCGTTTTGGTTATTTTATTCCCTATTACCTCGTTTTTGGTCGTTTTATTGTCTATTGTCTCGTTTTTAGTTATTTTATTGTCTAGTATCTCGTTTTTGGTCATTTTATTGTCTATTGCCTCGTTTTTTAGTCATATTACTGTCTGTTGCCTCGTTGTTTGGTCATGTTACTGTCTATTGCCTCGTTTTTAATCATTTTATTATCTATTACCTCGTTTTTTAGGGTATTGCATGGCATTGGAAGACGAGAAGAGCAGCGAACACAAGCCAGCGCACATGCAAACAGTGATACGAAAGGGTTCGTATAAAGAGATGTGTAAGTGAGCGAACGCCCCCCAGCCTCCCTCCCTCCCTCCCCCCAGCAGGCAGTAAACACCGGGGTCGTGTTGCACAACTCTGCCTCACATGCACTCGGCCACCACTGGAATAAATTAGCCATGGCGGCGCTGCTGAAGAAGAGAGCGCTGGCGGAATACTGTCAGACTATCGTGGTAAACCGTGGTCTTTTTCGGGCTTTGATGTGGTTTACCTCGTTGAGCTGTGACGAGTTACTTGAATTTTAATACACTGGAAATTGCTCCTTGAGCCGATTGTTTTGCAATTTTTATGTCTAACTATGAATTTATATTGTGAATATATTCCCACTTCAAGGCATCTCCTAAATCTTAAAATAATATTCGTGCAGAATTATATTTCGTTAACTTTTGTTAGCTTAACACCATGATATACGTTATATTATGTAGGATCATGTCATAAAATAAAGCTCGGTTCCTAATTGATAAAACTATATATCATTAGGTTAGGTTTATAACCTGGAGTATATATAATATAATGTATAGTGTGTTGCACACAAATCCATGCTGGTATGTGATGCACAGAGTGATTGCAAAATATAATATACAGGTTTTTAAAATGACTATGAACCAAAGTGTGTGAGTTAGGTTAGGTTAGGTTAAGTATACATATACTGATAAATGTACTCGGTACTTGTCTAGTTGTGCTTATGGGGAGGGGGGTTGAGCTACGACTCTTGTCCCACCTCATCTGTTAATCAATTAATGTACAGGTTTCTGAGCCTTTTGGCCTTATCATATCTACATTTAAAACCGAGTATGGAGTCTGCCTCCACCACATCACTGCATAATGCATCCTATTTGTTAGCTAATCTGACACTGAAAACATTCTTTCTAATGTCTCTATAACTCATTTTCCCAGCCCATCCTCCTGTTTTGGTAGTACTTATAGTAATGATGACCATAGTATATATACCGACGTACAACAAAATTAAAAAAGTAGAAATCGGCACTATTGAGTTGGACAAACCTAAAAAGTATTTTCTACTTATGTTGCATAGACAAACTAAACGCTTGCCCAAAACGCTTTGTATAATAGTGGCTTTTAAGCATTGTATGTACTAGCTCTATCTATAAGTCCATCAACTTTTTGTATCTCACCTTGTATGTATGTACTTTACCTGAATAAATATTTTGTTTTGTTTGTTTTTAAACTAACCTAACCTAACCTTTCTAGGCCTAATACACGATATCTGTGGCCTAATATAGTACATGTGTGTGCTATACCAGGCCTAGGAATATTTAAGCTTATTTTTTAGCTTAATTTATTTTAGACTATAAAGTTCTACTACGTATTTAACTGCTTTGAACATCAGTCTGTGTACTATGGTGCACATAGTTACAAAAACTACTATCTAAACAGGAGAATGGGTTACAGTTTCCACCTGTGGCCTCTTGTTCATGTACCACGCATGCTAAATAGTTTTCCTTTTATCTACCCTGTCAGTTCATATGAGAATTTTGTAGGTGGTAATCATATCTCCCCGAACTCATCTGTCTTCCAATGTCATGAGGTTTAATGGCAGTAATCAATCCTTGTAACTCATACCTCTCAGCTCTGGGACTAATCTGGTGGCATAACTGAACTTTTTCTAAACTTGTGTTTGACTAGATGTGGGGCTCTATGCTTGAGCCGCATACTCCAGGATTGGTCTGACATATGAGGCATACAAGGTTTTGAATGCGCCCTTACACAAGTTTCTAAGCGCAGTCCTTACGTTTGCCAGCTTCACATGTGCCACTGATGATATCATTTTGATGTGGGCTTCAGGGGACAGTTCTGGCATGATATCAATCCCCCAGATCTTCTTGATTCCTGAAGTATTGTTGAACCTTAGTCATGTTACTACTGGGATGAGTACAGTACATTACCAGGTACCTGGCAAGACACACGAAATGCCATCTGGTTGAGTGGAAAATCGGATGTTCTCAATACTTGGAGACAAACCACTTCGACCGAGACACCTTAGTTAAGCCAGCATCCAGAACTTTGCCCAACCACTTGGGCTGGATGGTAGAGCAATGGTCTCACTTTGTGGAGGTCGGCATTCAATTCCCGGCTGCCCAAACTTCCATCATAGATTGTGTCTTCTTACTAATCATAACTGTGCATCTGTAGTATGCAGATGCACAGATGCTTTCCTGATAGTTCCCTTCCATTCCATTCCATTCCTTTCCCATTTGGTACACGTGTTCAGTTTACCCACTTCCTACACCTATTTTCATTACTTTACATTTGTTTTATTTAAACTCCAGTAGCCATTTGTTTAACCATTTCTATTGGGGAGTACACATTATTCGGTTTGGTTATGTTAGGACAAGTTAGGTTGGGTTGGGTAAACTTGGCTTAGCTTAGGTAGGTTTTAAAATACAGTAGTGAAAAAATAAAAACATCATGTTTTTCCAGAGAAAAATTCAGCACACTACTTGATTATAATGAACTAATTCTTTTCTAGGAGGAAGCTCCAAAACCAGCTAAGCGACTGCAGTTAGTACGACGCACTCGAACAGTTGACCACAATGAGTTCAATGTTTCATCACTGGATACTACAGATGCACAACAACTACTCCCATCACTGGTGAACCTCCATCATTCTCTTCCTATTTCGGTAAGCTTCTTATTTAATTCTACAAATATTTGTATTGTTTGTTGTTTTTACAGAGGTGGGTACAGGAGTAGATTTTCTGACTCCTGGGAACAGGCTTGGAACATTCCCTACCCACAATTCATATTAAGTCTTTGTCTTATTAGTTTTTCCTTGAAGATGACCTGTTTATATTGTACTGTATTGTTATACTCATTCATGCTTCATTAATTATTAAATTAAGCACTTGATGGGATTTATTTCTTAAATGTAAATATCCTGTCTGTTATAGGATAAAGTTGCTAGTCTTTGGACACTTAAGAATGTTGTTGGCTATCTTGGTGGATAAAATTTTGTTATATTAGAATTATTACAAAAGTTATGAAGATATATGAGAGAAGACACAATCTATGATAGAAGCAATGAAAAACTATGGTGTCCAAAGTTTCATTGCATTCAAGTGTCCAGATATCCAGTCTCTAAACAAATAAGTATTTTGTTCTACTTATTTGCCATGGCAGAAAGTATTTTTTTCTGTTCCATACATAGTTATGGCTGTATAAATATGTAGAATTTTTTTTATCTTATAACTTACCATATCCATAACATACCATATCCATACCAACATAACTTAGCATATCCATAACATTGCCAAGGTAAAACATAATGTATATAGTCACCTGATTGACCCTAGCAACATTTTCTAGGTGATCCCCAAGGTGACCACTTGTATTTTCTTGCATGTTGCCTTTGTTGTAATGGTTTACCAACAAAAGTATGTACTTACTGGAACAATCTTTAGGTATAGTTACCTAAATTGCAAAGGTCTAGATACTGAAGCAGTTAGTAGATGCAAAATTTATCACAAATTACAAAGAGATATTTGCCATTGCCTGGTATTGTGGCCAAGACTGTAATAAGAACTATATTTCTGTCCTGCCCGAAACGCTTTGCGTAATAATGGCTTTAGGCAATGTATGTACTAGCTCTATCTATAAATTTATCAATATTTGTAAAATCTCTTGTATGTATGTACCTTACCTGAATAAACATTTATTTATTTATTATTTTGTCACTGCTCTGGTCATATGGAGTCTGGACAGTTTTACTTGCAGTGGTTTATTTTGTTTTCCCTTTTTCAGGTTTCTTAGAGGTTTGGTTCCATGGCATAAGCCTCTTTTTGTGTGCTTGGGCTATGTTTATATGTTTTAACCTTTTGCTTCATTTCCAGTTTTTCCCTAACCCGTCTGTGTAAATGGCCCCTTTGCCTGCAGCATACACACAATCACATGCATGTAATTGTGTTTAAGTGCACTTGTCTACAGCGGGGCTGATCTCTTAGTGTATGAGTTGGATTCTGGTCCTGGCTGGCTCTTGGTAGGTGATGGATGAGTCTTGGAGGTCTGAGAGTTGGGCTAAAACATAATTGTACCAGAGCAAAGTTCAGGAATGTACTGTGAACTCACCAGAGAAAGAAGTTTCATCACATTCAGCACTTGATTTGTTGTATGTTTTGTTTTATAATGTAAATACTGTATCCAGAAATGATTGCCTTGTCTTATGGTAAAAAGAAACAAAGAGTTACACAATAAATATTATTATTAATGATATGGAATATAATTTTGCCAGCTGAGCAGCAAACCAGCCAACCTTGCAAAGTTTGTAAACCTTTTAAGTTTGTTCAGATGTTTCCTGGTAGTGTCCTCAGTAGCTTCCTTATCTTGCTGCAGTGGCATGCATGGGCCTTGACCAACATACCAGGCCTCTTTGACTATCTCTGCCTACTGGGATAAGTGTCTTTTCATTTGAATTGTCCTCTTAAAGGAGTTGGATCCACGTGGGAATTTGAGATCAAGTGACTTCTTAGGTGAACTGCCCTTTACCTTCAAAGTGTGGTTTACATCATAAATTGACTCATGGGATAATATAGTTATCATGTGTTGATCTAAACTATTATTGTCAGATTTATACCAGTGATGTTAATATGGAAATAATAGCTCTTTATGGGTGTAGTAGGGTTTATCTAGACCCATAAAAAAATCATGCCATTATTTCATGATTGCTTATTATGCAAATGCAGTGATCATTGCAAATGATACTATGCCAATGTAGTATTTGTCATGGTATAAAGCTCCATTGTAATTACCTTCATATACTGTATACAGTATTCACCCATTCACTTACAGTATACGAGTTTCGATGGATATAAATAGCAACTGTGTTGTATGGTCAATAGGCTATGTGTAGTTCTTTATTTGTTATTTTTTTATTGATGCATACGTTCACTCATATGCATATGTTCATTGATTCATCATTGTTGGCATAATTATATTATCCTTACAACTATTAATGTAGTTGAACCATATTTTTGTAAATTGTGTTTACATAAATCTAGTTATTCATCACAAATAGTGTACTATAGTAGATGATCTAAATGTATGTAAAAGTGATCATATGAACATCAAAGGTCAACATTGGACTCCTCGGCTGCAAGCTGCTGCAGCAGCAATGCATGAGGTTTGTCATTGATGGATCTCGCTTGGGCCGCCTTCCATCAATCTTGTAAAAACTCACCTTTCCAGTAAAAAAATACATTTTCCTTATATTTTGCATCCAAATTAATTATTCTACAAGGATTTTGTTTACTCCTTGGAGGATTGTTTGTGATTTAGGTAACATGAATAAACTATGAAACAATTGATATACTTTGCCAAATAAAACCCTTACCCTGTACAGCAAGGATGAGAAAGATAAACAACAACCAAGCCATGCTACTTTCTGAAGTGAAAAAGGAGAGAGGAAAATAGTTCTGAATCATGTGTCTTGTACAGGAAAGCTCAGTGCCAAGTTGTAGGCCTGGAACAAAGTTCCTAGGCACAACCAAAGCAGTAAATCAGCTGAAGAGGATCAGGTCCATGCTGAAACAACAACAAACAGCTGTAGTGGATAAGTGCAGTCATTGGTGAATATTAGGGGTAAAGTGAGGTAGCCAGATCCTTGGACCCAGGCACTGTGTAGTTCATAGTACTTATTGACATTTCTTACATTTTTAGATGCTTGTTAAGGATGTTGATGGTGTGGCTCACTTTTATGGCCCCTCTGTGGTGGCTCAGTCTGTTCTCTTGGTTTGCCATAACATACAAAATATGAGGTACCTATATTAAAATGCATAAACCCAAGCCTATGTGCCAAACCTAACCACATACACATAGAAAACATGGATATTTGTGAGCCACTGATTTTCTTAGTGAACCTTATTTTGTACGTTGCAGATCATAGCATACAAAATAAGATGTAAGAGTTGAGAGGACAGGTTGGGTGGCTTGTGTTAGACTTGCCATTTTCTCCCTTCCATTCTTTCATTAACATAAGAACTGTAGAATATGTAGGACTGAGAACAGGAGATGCTTTTTTACCCACAGGGTTATTAACCCATGGAACCACCTACCTGCTGAAGCCGTAACTGACAAAACTGGAAAAGATCATCAAGGCAAATGGGGGGGGAGGACCTTCGACAAGCCACCGGCTTCCTGTCCTCGTCGAGGCCACTAGGGTTAGTGGCCCTCAGGTAAATCAGGCAAATGAGCATTTGCAAATATTATGAAGTCTCTGTGGCGTAGTGTTAAGACACTAGCTGGCGATTTGGCCTGGGTTCGTATCCTGGCTGGGGAGGATTAACTAAGCACCAATCCTTAACTGTAGCCTCTGTTCACTTAGCAGTGAATGGGTACCTGGTTGTTAGACGATTATGCGGATTGTATTCGGGGGAAATTAAGATTAAGGACCTGCCCGAAATGTTATGCATGCTAGTGGCTTTATAAGAATGTAAGATCTCTTGTACAGTATATGTAAATTAAACTAAGAAAAAATATCCTTGTCAGGCTCAGTGGTAAAGTCACTAAGAACCTATTGTATAGGTATATAGTACTGATGGACTATAATGGCACAGAAATGTTGGTCTAAACTAGAAAAGAACTGTGCAGCTAAGGTAGCAAACAAGAAGTATGATTAGTATGGTCACATTGCATTTTATATGTATGTGCTGTATTATAATGTTTGTTTACTTTTTGTCATTAATGTAAACGTTTATTTTAGGGTGAGGCTCAGAGTGAGGCAGTGGAAGGGCTGATGAAGCTGGTTCCAAATGACTCCCTCTCTCCCATCATCACCACCAAAGTGCTGGCTCTCCTGGCCAACATCATCACTACACATGCTCAAGCACAGGTGCTCATGATACCAAAAGTTTTATGTTTTTTAAGGTCTACATTTCTGAATATAAAATGCATATTAAAATCTTTGTACTGTACTTTTCTATAACTTTGATACCAGTTTTACTTCTGAAAATTAAATTTTTGTAGGGATGCTATATCTACTGTAGATTGTAGAAGTCTCCCGCAAAATATTGAACCGTTTCAAATCTTGAAGACTTGAGGAACGTCTGAAACATTTGCTGGTTTGTGTAACAAAAAAATGAAGTGGGGGGGCCATTTTCAGTGCAACCCCAAAAAAACCTCTAAATGGGGGAATGATTTGGCTAATGGAATGGTTTGCAGGAATCCAGAAAAGGACCCGGATTTTCCCTAAGACTCGTATTACCAATTAGTAGGACCACCTTCATATATGTAGCCGATTGTGTTTTTCATTATTTTTTTTTAACAGATTTATAATTGAAAACCCCCTTAAATCAGTTGAGGAAGGGAGGCAGTGGTGGGTCTAACTCTAACTAGCTATTATACCAAGGAACAAATATTAAATTCAACAAAGCTCTTCCAATTGAAATTAAAATGGGCACATTAATTATCATTCTGCTTATTATCACTCCCAACAACATGTATTCTATTACCATGTGGCAAACTGGCCTTCCCATTATTACTTGCAAATTATTTATGTTTGATTATATCATAATGTAGGTATTGCTTCTTATATTTATCTGATTAACATGCAATAGCATGATTAAATTTTGTTACTTGTAATTGTGATAGATGTATAAATATTTATAGATATGCATTTTTCCATGTACTGTATTCTAATTATTTTTTGTTTCTCTCTGTAGCCTGTTTTTGAAGAAATATTGAGCGTGACTCGTAGAAGCAAGTCACAGAAAGTTATTGCGCAGGGTGTCAACACTGCCTGTGCCTTGTCTCAGTGTATTCCTCAAGACCCCAAGTTACAGGATCAGGTCATCCAGTTGGCCCTCTCCCAGTTCAGCAGCTCGAGCTTTATCATAAAGGTGAACATTGTGGGATGCAGTAAATATATATTATTTTATCACAGCCTCTCATTTTCTGAATTATAAAGGGTGGAATATTGGGCTGCAAACCCAACTTACCAAATACAAATTCACTCCAATAGCAAAAACACAATTTACTTATTTATCTAATCAGTGAGTTACAGTCTCTCGGAGCTGCTACTTCAATCCTTACATGTCAGAGCACTGACATGTAAGAATTAAATCATATGATGCTAAATAATAATAAAATACTAGTGCAAAAATATATGTCGGCATTTGAAGTGCCTCGGGATCCTTGTGGGTGCAGTAGTACTACAGGTTGCAATTCTTTTGACCATTTCGTGGTACAGTCGACTAAAGCGTGCCTGGAAACACCCAACACATAGGTTCGAACCCTCATCACAGCTCCTTTGGATTTGTTCATCCCTGACTGCATATTCCTGCCTAATAGACACAGCTGATCTTGCATTAGAGGGTATCATTATATCTGCTCTGAAATATTTTTTTCATATTATTAGTCTTCAGATGTTGATGCATGCTACTGTTAGCAGTACAGTACCTTCATCTTCAGCTAATCAAGAATATGCAGGGTTGTTTATAGTTTATAATTTAGAGAAGGTTTACATATATGTTAGTCATAGGGTTGGGAAACAAAGTGTGAGAAATCAGCACTCTTGAGGAAAAAAATAGAATTACAGCTGTACTGATAAAGAAATCATTATATTATTATATTTTATTGCTTGAATGATTTTTCTTAAGATGTAACACAAGATTTTGTACAGGTGCGGTCATTAGAAGCAGTAGGAAGCCTGTGCCCTGTGGAAGCTGGTCGTGTACAGTCGGCTATAATGACAACGTTAATTGAGCACACGTCACACCAGGACAACAGAGTCAGGACTGCTGCCTTCAATTCTTTAGTCAGTAGTTCTCAAGTGTTTTTTCTTATTTGAATTATTTCTTTAATAATCATCATTATTTCACTGGGTAATGAGGCACCTGCCTAATTAGGGTGCAGAAGTTGTATCTAAAAAGAGATTTAATACTGTTGAATGATACCTAACCTTTCTTTCTGCTATCCCCACACCGCAGTATCACTGGGTAACTAGCACTGTATACAGAAACACACATACACTTTTCAGCCATTTTATAGACTAAATTTATCACAAAATTAGCAGTCATTTCCTTATAGCAAATTTCTTCCACTCAGTTCTTCTGTCACTGGACTGTCAATATATATTATATTTTAATTGTCTCAGAAGTAAGGAGAGTGATTCAGTTGTACAACTGTATCATGTATATGGTATATGACACAGATACATGTAAAGAACTATACATTTTGATTATGCTATTTAATTATAACTCTTTCTGATAGCTGGTTGTGCAAGAGAAGGGAGTGAAACTTCCACCAGATGTATATGATAGTGCGTGCCAGGCACTCACTGATGATTACCAGTGTGTGCGGGAAGCTGCTCTTCTTCTTGTAAAGGTAGCACTTTGTAATTCTTTTACTGCAGTACGAGTTAAACTATGCAGTACATTATATGTACTGTAGTTTATTATGTACACAGTGGCATCTCCAAAAGCAAGATCATGTAATTCCAGATCTGATAAAGATTTGTGTGAAATCTGGATTTGTGAAACATTGTCCCTTTTTGGCTATTTATACAAAAAGTTCATATTTTTCTTGTAAAACTTAAAATGAATCAATAGAATTTTATTGTAGATATGCTCAATGGCTTTCACAAGGCACCCATTGTTTCTCCTAATGGAGTGATTATCTATTAAAAAACATTATTAAAGCCATATTAAATCTGTATTTCTCACACTGAGGGGGAAAAAAAGGGTCAACTACTGAAAAACCTAATTGTAAATCCTGAAGGAAAGTGAGTTTGCCAGCTTTAGTATCAGTATCCATGTCAAAATCTGTGCAGATGAGGAGTCACAATAATGTAGCTGAAAAATGTTGAGCAAACCACTAGAAAGTGAACAGACAACGACATCTCGTCTCTTCACTTTCTAGTGTGTGGTTTGGTCATCAAAATCATTGTTTGGGTTAGAATTAAGAGTTTGAAATCATGATCAATAATGCCAAGTTGCATTACACAGGTGGCTGCAGACAGTGACCCTGAGCGGTTAGTACCCATCCCAGACAGTGACCACCACGTGCGTCTGATCGACAATGCCTTCTCACAGATCTGTAATGTTGTTAATGACATCAGTGTGAGAGTAAGAACTCAGGCTGCCTCACTCTTGGGGACAATGACTAATGTCTCCGAGAGGTTTTTACAACAGACCTTGGATAAGAAGCTCATGTCTAATATGAGAGTGAGTTCCATTTTATCTTTCCTTTTATATTTATTTTTAAGAAAATATCAGCAATTGTTATTATATATATATATATGTATATATTGGATATTTTTTTATGCTTAACAGTTATGCAGAATTTATCCATGTAAAGTATTTTTAGATTATTCCATACAGTATTTACACATAATCAGTTTTATTAAATGGGTTTGAAAATTAAAATTATAATAAGCTGCATATAACTTCTGCATGATTAATTTAATATTTTGTTAAAAAAATATTTTCAACACTTAAAACTTTGGTTTTCTAAATTCTTTTAATCATAAGCAAATTTTTATTGTCAGTTAAGATGAAAGCTATGATTTCCATTCATAATAAATCAATTGTGCCATGATTAACATTTAAGTTTGTCCACTAAAAGGTTTTGTTTTAATCATAGTATGCATAAATTTCCAGAGGAAACGGTCCGCTCATGAACGTGCACGTGCCATGGTATCTTCTGGAGAGTGGTCATCTGGAAAACGATGGGCAGATGATGGCCCCAAGGAACATATGGAAGCAGATTCTGTTTCCGTTATTAATACTGGCTCTTGTGGAGCATTTGTACATGGTTTAGAAGATGAGTTTTTAGGTAAGATCATGCAAGTTGTATTAAGCATTGTTTAAACATATACATGGATCACCTTAGGTAAGATCATGCAAGTTGTATTAAGCATTGTTTAAACATATACATGGATCACCTTAGGTAAGATCATGCAAGTTGTATTAAGCATTGTTTAAAAATATACATGGATTACCTTAATAATTAACAAGAATATGTGCCTAGAAACCTAGGTCTTGACATTGTTAACATTGTATGGAAAATATTGGGTTGTGTTTGACAGAGGTTGGAGACATTTGGGCTATATTTCCTTACACCTATTGGCTGTGTTCGGTAAATAGGTATCAGGAAGTTAGGCAACTGTTGTGGGTTGCATCCAGGAGAAGGTTAGTCATTGACTTACATTTTAGAGGGACCTCAGTAAGCCTAACTATCATCATCTGTTCCTTGACAGTGGGAAACCATATTGAATTTAAATGATGGAAGATGTGGTTACATTTTACTAGACTCGCTAACTTTTCCACCTTCCTCCAATGTTGTGGACAATTAAGTGTGTGTAATTATTTCTTATAACCCCCAAGATAGTCATTATCATTTGGTGAACTGGGCCATTGCTGTCATCATTTGGCAAATTATTTTTCTATTGCCCAACAACCTCAAAAACAAGAGGTCACAGATTCAAGCTAAGGAAATATAGAAAGTTTTCTTTCCCAAACAGAGTTGTAGATGGTTGGAACACATTAAATGATGTGGTGGTGGAGGCCAAAAGTGTCAGTAGTTTCAAAGCGTTATACGAGTGCTGGGAAGACATAACACCACAAGTGTAGCTCTCGTTCTGTAACTACACTTGGGTAATTACACATACGTGAATGGACAAAAGAGACAAGGTGGACAAAGACAAACTAATTAGCATGGGCGGAACACGAACAAGGGGACACACGTAGAAACTTAGTACTGAACTCAAATAAGCCACAGATACATTAGAAAGAATTTTTTAAGTATCAGTGTAGTCAACAATTGGAATGTGGCAGTGATGTGATGGACTCCATACACAGTTTCAAATGTAGATATGATAGAGGCCAATTGGCTCAGGAATCTGTACACCAGTTGATTGACAGTTGAGAGGTGGGACCAAAGAGCCAAAGCTCAACCCTCGCAAGCACAACTAGAGTACACACCCACAATCTCTTAAATTGAATAGTAACAAATTTATCTATGTTACAGAGGTGCGGAATGCAGCCCTAGATTCTCTCTGTGCCCTGGCTCTTAACAATGAGTACTTTGCCAACCAGTCCCTCGACTTTCTTGTTGACATGTTTAATGATGAAATTGAAGAAGTTCGTCTTAAAGCTATTCAGGTATGAAGTGAAAGAAATTTAAAATTACAAAAGTTGTTTTAACTATGTTGTATTATATTTAGAATAATTATAAGAATTAGAAGATTCTACCTTACTTCTTATGGGTGTAATGTTTGTTTATGTGTACATATTTAGTTGAGTAGACACAGAGTTTAGTGGTTTTTTATATTTAGTATAGTCTTGCTTACAGCAGTTGGTTTGTTGGCAGTGTAGTGAAGTGTCGTAGTAGTTCAGAAATAGCCTGTAGTAGGTCAGAGAGCTGAGTGACGTCAGGAATAGACAGCAGCTGGGATGTGGGATGCGTGTGTAGAGTGTGGCGCCCTGAATGCGGGCGGAGTCAAGGAGCTGAGTGCGGGACAAGAGCGTGAAAGCTTGATGCAGCCGGAGCCTGGCTGTCTGCTCTGTGTTGAGGCTGAAGCGTCTTGTAGGAACTGGACACGATCGGGTGTTACATTGTTGTTGGCAAATCTTGAAGATGTGGAGTATCTCTCAAGCATCTGTACTGAACCACTCTTGAAATTTGACTGATGATGATTCGCTATCGACTGCTTATACAGGTATTACCAGTCCTACACATTGCCCGACCATCCTCTAGCAGGTTTGGAAAGAGGTATTAATTGTAATTAGTGGATTAAGTAGAATTAACAAAGCCATCTGACTATCTGCACACAAGCTAACCTATCCAAGGGAGTGAACTCTTGCATATCACTATTTGCAGACAATGCAAAGCTACCGAGGACATTTAAATATGAGGAGGAATATAGAAAGCTGTGTAAAGTCCTTGACTAACTAAACAGTGTTAGGTAATAAAGATGGAAAAAGGTGACAGGAGTTTAGAAGAAATTTGCAACATAACGGATCAGAGGGAGAGACTTGAGAGTGGGTATAGTTCCAAAACTTAACACCAGAAGTACACACAAACAAGATAATATCACAACATATGGGAAGCTGGCAAACATAAAAATGAAGAAAAAATCTGAATAAGTACTTTTTTTTAACAATTTACAGCCTATATTAGACTAATACTAGAATATACAACACTGGCATGATGATTTTTGCACCTCATTAAGAGAAACTTTGAAGAAATGCTTGGGTCTATAAACTGAAGTAAGAGGACTGGAAAAGGTAATTGAATTAGACATCGCTGGAGGAGAAAAAAAATATAATCTATATATAAAATACTGAGAGGGAATAGTCAAGATGGACAAGGACAGTTGTTGAACAGGTGGTTGACAAGTGGAATGCATTGATAAGTCATGAATGCTGCCGCCATCTACAATTTCATCAAATACAACACATAACTCAAATGACGAGATTTAAAAACACCAAGTACGAACTGAACTCATTGACCACCCTTTGTGGTCAATGAGAGGCAAGCATTGTTCCACATGGTAGAATATAAGAGTCATCCATGCAACACCATTGGCTTTCTTTTACCAGAAATAGTGGCAGCTCAAATAAGTGTTGAGTATGTAGTAATTATGTATAATATTCATTAATATGTAACAACTAATTATTCAGACCTATTTAAGCAATTTCACCAAGGTTTGTTGCCACAGGTTCTACAGCAAGTAGCTGCCCACATCATTCTTCGAGCTGATCAGTTAGAAGAGATCCTTCATGCCTTAAAAGATACCTCTTTAGAAATTCGTGAGTGTCTCCACACTTTCTTGGGAACTACCATTCTCTCTACTATAGCGTGTGTCAAACTGTGTGTCACGGGTCTACTTGACAATCTCCGCAGATACCAACAGGTGGGTCATTAATTTTGGAAGAGTTTGGGAATTATTTATCAGATCGTAATCATGTCTTGACTAGTAGAATTTATCTTTTTATATTATGAATTTTTTGTAAAACAAAAATGTAAGGAAAGTGAAATTTAAGTAAATGCTTATACGGTATCGAATGAGGAATAGTTAATTATTTATGTATATAATAACAGCATAGGGTTAAATGATAAGGTTTGGGTTAAGAAGCACAAGTGTAACAAAATTGGCAATAGAATAACAGAAGGTGAGATTACTGTACAGTAATGCAAAGAAGTGTATACAGTGTACTACACAACAATCCTGCATATGGGAGTGTGCAGTTTATTATCTGTAATTTGATGTTGAGTACCAAGGAATTGAGAGACATTTTAACATGCTTGTTTCTCTCTCTCTCTCTCTCTCTCTCTCTCTCTCCACTAATTTAGAAATTTATTTTTCAGGACCGACGCAGTATACACCGCTGTCTGCGACGTTTAGGGTCAAACCATCCCATTTTAGTACAAGCACTAGTACCACAGCTCCTTGTCATACACCCTTATTTTGATGGTGTTGAGCCCAGTGTACAAGATGGGGAATACATTTGTAAGGTAATTTGGCAAAGCTTGTAAATCAAATTTAATATAGCATTTATGTTTAGTAATTAAAATTTAACATTTAGAACTAGTGTTGTGCAACAATTAAGTAATTGTATTTAGATATAGCAGAGACACTGGCTTTTGTTATCCATAGATGTCCACTTGTGTAAGACAAAATTCAGGTGTCCTTTCTTTCACTGATGGCACCTTTCTTTGGGTACTCTGACACTGTAACACTGTTACTAGTCACCTGCTGCATTTTCTCAAGCTCCATATTCCCTTTTAACCCTTTGGATGTGATGTGCAACAGCAGTCGACAGCCAGAAACTCGCCCTAAAATGGTAATGCCACATGAGACCTAAGTGTGTGCTTGGGAAAAAAAAGTTTCAGAATTGTACGCAAATCATATGTTCAACCAGGGGGTTGGCAGCAGAATCAAATGCATCCCATGAGTGCCAAAAATTGGCAATTATCCTTTCTTTAAACCCTCACACTTGCATGCTCTTGCTTTGAGCTTATTTGTGTAGGTGGTGTTCTGCTCTCCCCTTTCCTCATGAAGTCTGTTACTACCTTGTTCATACATTTCCATGTGGGTGTGTTTATTAGTGTTGGATAAATCTTTGTCTTTGATATTTGTAAATTTTTTTCTTGTCACTTACAATGTTTTCTCTTCTTTAGTACCACTGCTCTCATTAATCCCCCTTCGTATTGTCTCCTTTCTTATTTGTCACAGAAAATCCTCTCCAATTTCACACCTGAAACACCTAACTGGTTGTGGTGAAACAAATCTTAATCCTTGCTTCATTATCGCTACAGATAACTGACCTATAAATGTTTAATAGTTAACATTGACAACACCACTGTTGTGATTGGAGTGAGGACTGTGTGAGGGAAATTGAGATGTAACAAGAGAGTTGCATAAATGAGTAGTTCTGCCTTGGATGTATAATGCTGGTGTGGCATTAAAAATGAAAAATAATGAGCAGTAGAAATGAGTAGTTCAAAGCAGCATGTATGAAGACGGTTTGATCATGATGTATAATAATTTCACAAGGTGAAATTGTTAGCAGTGGGTAGAGAGGAAGGCCAAAAAGATAGGTGGACAGGGTAAGGAACTGTTAATTGTGAACAGCACAGGAGAAATGGTGGGAAACAAGAATAGGTGGCATTAGTTTGTGAAGAGAAAGTGAATTGTACAAATATATCCATGATAACTCTCGAAGAGCATGAAGGGTTAGGGTGCTACTGTGGATTATTTGCTGGAGTATGGTGATGCTGGTTCTTCATGATGTTCTTTTTATGTTACCTGGTTGATGGGGTTCTGGGAGTTCTTCTACTCCCCAAGCCCGGCCTGAGGGCAGACTTGACTTGTGAGAGTTTGGTCCACCAGGCTGTTGCTTGGAGCAGCCCGCAGGCCGACATACCCACCACAGCCCAGTTGGTCCAGCAATCCTTGAAGGAAACAATCTGTGTGGGGTGTATGTACATTTCTTTGTTTATATTGCTCTCCGATCTTCTCTGGGCTAATACTTTTCCAACTCGTGGTATTGGAGATTGGATAAAGATATTAACCATTGTTTATGTAGGATATTTAAAGTTATACATATTACTGCAGGTATTTGTGATTTATTTCTAATTATGAACTATAAGAATATTATTGATTCTACATAGTTTAAACCTTCAGCTCGATATCTGTCTGAAGTGTAAATAATTTTGACATTTGCACATTCAACATTTAGAGTGAGGAAGGATGTTTTTAGAAAAGAATGGCATTAGTTAAGAATGATGTAAAGTAGAATTAATTTATAAAATGAGATTGCTACATATCTCCCTGGCTTGATGCCTTCTTTTGACAATTACAGTACGGTACTTATAAATTGAGGATAAAGTTTGCTTCATAGAATTCGTTTAGGCCCTTTGTTTTGAGGATGATAGCACACACAACCACTGCTAACAAGCATCTAACATAGAGAAACCTCTTATTTGTTTAAGCAGATAATAATTGCTCGGTCAGTTTCTATTTACAGTCGAAATTGATTCTCACCCTTAGACAGAAGCTCCACTTCTCCAAGATATAACTTGATTCATGTTACAGTAAACGAAGTATGCATCAGTACAGCAGAGCAAGTGAGAAAATCCATAGGAACCGTGATGAGGATTTTCTCATTGATACATTACGTTAGTGTGATTATTTTCCGAGTAGAACAAATGTTAAGGAAAGTAATTTGTTTTTAATTAAAAAAAAATTTCCTCACAGCTTATACTGGTGCTTAATGCAGCCGTGCACTGCCCGACCATTCTCCCTCTACTAGAACAACACACACTTCGCCACTATGCATATCTACGTGACACCATGCCACAGCTGGTTCCAGTTCTTAAGGTGAATGTTGGAAAAATCACATTTTATGCATTCGAATACAAATTTGTTTTGATATAAACTAAATGCACTTAATGCTGATGTATAAATCCTTTTGCAGTAAGACTGGCACGTAATGATTCTTTGTGCCTGCTTATTTTAAATTGCTCTTGCTTCAATCATGTGTTTCACTCCCTAAATAGTGTAGTAGAATTTTATCTTCATAAACACACTACACAAAATGCATTTCAGCTTTGCGTTGTTAACAGTTTGTGCAATATTTTATGCAAGTCGTGCATCACATCCATTTAGTCAGTTAGTCACATTTACAGTAAGATTATCCCCAAGACAAATTTGTATATTGAATATAGTATGGCAAATCTGTAAATTTTCACTCCTTAACATTTGAGAAATTTTAGGGTTGCATTGGTCCAAGATTGCTTACATGATTTAACATTTTGTGCAAGATTAATGTGAACAGCAAAATACAAATTGGCATTTGAATGTTATTGCTAGCACTAAGTTATTAGAATATTCCTTTAGGATATTGCATAGGAAAGCTTAATAATAAAAAAAGCACTATAATGCGTTATTATGATGTTTTGCATTTGTAAAAATGTTTTAAGTATCAATATAAGATGATCACATTTAATAGGTTTAGTTGTTGCACATTCAAACATGATAGTGAATGTCAAAGGTTAGCATTTATGCAACACAGTGCAACGCTGCACAAACAGAATTCAGAGGTGGGTACAGTTATAATTAAATTTGGAGATTTTGCAGTGATAACATTTTTATTTGTGACCAAAAATAATGTTAATATAAATACATTAAAATAATTTCTTAAACAAAATGAAATATATAGGAAACTTAGACATTTGTACTGGTGTAAATTAGCAGTTGTCACTTGTCACCCTCGAATGGTCAAAGGAAATATTGTTTCATAGATTTTGTATACATTATGTACAGAATTAGAGATAATTACTAGACTGTTTTCATAAAAATACATAGCAGGCTGTACTTTCACAATTTTTAGTATTAGACATGGGTGGGGTCCTGCCCTGTCTGGTCGATCCCTGTATGTGGGTCTTGCCCTGTCTGGTCGACCCCTGTATGTGGGTCTTGCCCTGTCTGGTCGACCCCTGTACGTGGGTCCTGCCCTGTCTGGTCGACCCCTGTACATGGGCCCTTCCCTGTCTGGTCGACCCCTGTACGTGGGTCCTGCCCTGTCTGGTCGACCCCTGTACGTGGGTCCTGCCCTGTCTGGTCGACCCCTGTACATGGGTCCTGCCCTGTCTGGTCGACCCCTGTACGTGGGTCTTGCCCTGTCTGGTCGACCCCTGTACGTGGGTCTTGCCCTGTCTGGTCGACCCCTGTACGTGGGTCCTGCCCTGTCTGGTCGACCCCTGTACGTGGGTCCTGACCTGTCTAGTCGACCCCTGTACGTGGGTCTTGCCCTGTCTGGTCGACCCCTGTACGTGGGTCTTGCCCTGTCTGGTCGACCCCTGTACGTGGGTCCTGCCCTGTCTGGTCGACCCCTGTACGTGGGTCTTGCCCTGTCTGGTCGACCCCTGTACGTGGGTCCTGCCCTGTCTGGTCGACCCCTGTACATGGGTCCTGCCCTGTCTGGTCGACCCCTGTACGTGGGTCTTGCCCTGTCTGGTCGACCCCTGTACGTGGGTCCTGCCCTGTCTGGTCGACCCCTGTACGTGGGTCCTGCCCTGTCTGGTCGACCCCTGTACGTGGGTCTTGCCCTGTCTGGTCGACCCCTGTACGTGGGTCTTGCCCTGTCTGGTCGACCCCTGTACGTGGGTCTTGCCCTGTCTGGTCGACCCCTGTACGTGGGTCCTGCCCTGTCTGGTCGACCCCTGTACGTGGGTCTTGCCCTGTCTGGTCGACCCCTGTACGTGGGTCCTGCCCTGTCTGGTCGACCCCTGTACATGGGTCCTGCCCTGTCTGGTCGACCCCTGTACGTGGGTCTTGCCCTGTCTGGTCGACCCCTGTACGTGGGTCCTGCCCTGTCTGGTCGACCCCTGTACGTGGGTCCTGCCCTGTCTGGTCGACCCCTGTACGTGGGTCTTGCCCTGTCTGGTCGACCCCTGTACGTGGGTCTTGCCCTGTCTGGTCGACCCCTGTACGTGGGTCCTGCCCTGTCTGGTCGACCCCTGTACGTGGGTCCTGCCCTGTCTGGTCGACCCCTGTACGTGGGTCTTGCCCTGTCTGGTCGACCCCTGTACGTGGGTCTTGCCCTGTCTGGTCGACCCCTGTACGTGGGTCTTGCCCTGTCTGGTCGACCCCTGTACGTGGGTCCTGCCCTGTCTGGTCAACCCCTGTACATGGGTCCTTCCCTGTCTGGTCGACCCCTGTACGTGGGTCCTGCCTGTCTGGTCAACCCCTGTACATGGAGTTCTCACTAACAATTACATGTAAATGTTTAAAGTTTATTGCCGGCTTGACTTGATCTGATGAAAGAAAATAGCTCTGGGAATACACCCACAGGTACTACCATATATTTCTGACCAAATCTGAAAAAAAAAATATCAATTTAACTAATGTCAGCCGTGTTATTTTGTGTTTTTCATCTCGGCACATCTTCCAGCTTATTCCGCCATAAACATACTTGGCAATCTTGGATTCTGTGTCGGAATGCTGAAAGTAGAACATTTGCCTTGTCCAAGTCCACCTTCTTACCTGCTAGACATTTTTCCTAGTCAAAATAAGTAAACTACTGTACAGTATATACAAACAGAATGTAAAAATCATTAGTTATGAACAATCTGTGTGTTGTATAATTTGATGGACTTGGTTAGGACATGTCCACCTCGCCTGAAGTGCATTAGGTCTCAATATTAGGAAATAGGCTTCCTGTAATTAATTTATAATTGTTATAAATTATTATACTTGTATTATTCACATAAAAAGGTAAGATACTTTTTTGTGCACGTACTGTATATACACACAATTGTTTTCATGGATCTGATCTAGAAGATCAAAGTTCTAATCCAAAGATCTACAAAATTCTAACTACTGTATAAATTATAAATGTAAAATATAAAATTACATGGATTGTGGTGTAACCTCAGTCTTAGTTTATTAATACAGTATATACTTTTCTACTTAAAAAAAAAAATTGCAGCTTGGAGAAGAATGGCAGCCAAGAGGGGAGACTGTACCCACAAATACACTACGGTTCTTAAGGGAATCCATGGAGAAGGTTGCATATTTGGATAGATCTTCTACACAACTTCGTCTGACTGTTTACCAAACTGTCCATTCTGATTTAGTCAAGCTTGCAGATATTGATCCAGCACTGTCACCAGCAGCTCATTTTGCTGCTTTGTATACACAGTGCATGTTGTTGTTTAGCAAGATACTATCAACAAGAAACTGGCTGACCCCATCCTCACTCTCCATGCAGCAAAGTGGTGCCCTTAAAAGTAATGTTGATCAGCTGTTGAAGAACACTTTTCGATTGCGTCATGCATTCACAAACTTAAGTCCTGCAGAGGAGGCTAGTATCAGAAATCTGAGAGTGCGTACTCTAGCCCTGCAGTTAGTGTATGTAGTACACGGTTCGACTGGCTCTGCTTTAGGTTTGTGTGATAATTTCTTGGAACACACAGAAGCGCTTCACAAATATCTCACGGATGAAAAATTGAGTGCTGATTCTTTCTTGGAAGCAGTGTTTGAAGAATTGAGTCAGTTGGAAGAACCTCGTCCCGGTGCAGTTGCTCGCATTTTACAGCCACTTCTCCTAACTCATCCAGTCCCAGCTCTAGCTCCTATACTTAACCCTGCACAAGTCCATATGTGTTCTGCTGAAATTATTGAACCCCAGTCAGATAGTGATGCAATTCATAAGTTAAGTGCAGGATTGGTGGTTGGAGTACCTCTTGATGCTGAAATATCACATATCCCAGACCCATCTACATTGCGCATACGTGTAGCTTACCCAGATCACTCTACTCACCTTGTTGTTCCCCCTAAAAGTCACCTTCGATTAGTAAGTCCTGGTACGTATAGACTTCTGACTACTGTATTAGTGTCTGCACAAGTGTCGTGGTCAGAAGCTTGTCATGTGGGACTATCATTAGTGCTGGATCTCAGTGATCAGGAAGTGCTAGCAGCAAGAAGACATTGTGTTGTTAAAACTGATGATTCGGCTACAATTATACAACTTGTCAAACCAGTTAAGGTTCTTGTCTGGCCTAAAGCCATTAGAAAAGGAATATAAGCCCAAGTGTAGTTTATACATAATTTTGTCATTTAAATTATCAATCATTTCATCAAATTTAAAACATTGACTCATTAAAATTAAGGTGCAATAAGAACTTGTAAGATACAGTATGCCAGTATGTACACATTATTTTTTATAAAACAACAGTTTCTCTTGAACGTTCTCCAGTGTCTTGTTTGTCATCGAAGAGGTATTCTTGACCTTTTCATATTAAATATTCTGGTTTGTACATTGTTTCAAACATTACCAGTATTTTGCAAATGTAATTACTATGATCTTGTAATTTTTAAATGTATGATGTACTGTATAATTGGCTTGCAGATTCAGTAGTACACGAGTGAGCACACTTATGCCAAGTTTTGCAGTGCATAGGTGCAATGGGATAAAAGCATGCTCAATATGTATTTACTTTATGCATAGTGAACTTGCTTTTAGCCTCTTTTTTTTGAGTGTTACAGCCTCAGTATTGGGATGATCCCCATCTCTTCCCTTACATCATAGAAGAGACTGGGAATTACATGACCCCTTGTTATTACCCCGGTAGATAATAAGTCTTTCTCGGGTACCTGACATTAGTAGGTCTAACAGGGAGCTACCCAGAAATAACTTACATTTATATAGTAAAAGTATTTTTCTACCAATAACTGGTAGAAAGTGCCAATAACTTACTAAGTAATAGCCTCACTAAGTCCCTCTAATTCACTGCTGAACGGAATACAATTTTTTAAAAAATCAGTTCATATTTTTACATTAAGGTATTTCTTGTATACAGTATTTGTATTTTTAATAAAAGATACTTTACAAGGGTGTAAATTGAAAGATTTATTTAGTGCCTATCACCTTGTCTCACTCCTAGTCTCGAGCTCACTGATGTACACACAAAACAACAAATATCTTTAAAGTTTGCATTAAGTAATATTATTTTTTCTATGTCATTACAGTGTATATATGTATTATACCAGTTCAGCAGAAATGTTTCATCAAATATGACTGCACATTCCGTGTTGATTATTTTTTGTTTAGAGCTTATATCCACGTAACCAATGCTCTTGTATCTCGGTTTAATTTTAAGAGGATCTTTCCAAATATTGTATTTGTTCAAGGTAGACTAAGAGAGTAAAAACTGTATAATGTACAGTACGTTACATACACTTACTATAGTTTACACAACGTTTTGAGCCTATGAGACCCTATATGCTTTTGCATTACCCATTTTGATAGGGTAATGAGAACTTGTGTGACCCAAGTTCTCATTACTAGTACCTGACATAACTTTGTACACTTAATTTATCTCTACTCTTTATTTCTTTGGTTATTCACCTAGCATAATTGTGTATACAACCGACTTCTCAATGTTATAACTCTGATGTTTCTTCACATCTTGTCATTCCTCACTTGAGGAAGAACCTCAGTAGGCTCAAAATGTTGTGTAAATTATAAGTATAATACATTATACAGTTTTTACTCTCTTGGTCTACCATGAACAAAGAGGAGGATATCTCTAAATATCTTTAACTAGTGCTCTTGCATCTTATGAAGGATAGAAGCGCTAAACAAGAAAATAATCCAGACTGAATATGAAGTCATATTCAATGAAACATTTCAGCAGAAAGTATACTAAAATATTCCCCCAAATCATATTGAATGCTACATGAAACCTAAATTGTAACAGAAAAGCTCTGGTATCAGCTCTTGATACACAAACACTGGGTCCTGACCCTATTGGATAAGTATTTTCTGGAAAATGCCAAGATCTGAGTCTGTAAGCAAACAAAATTGTATTGATTTAAATGTTGAAATAGTGTGCATTCAGTGGTGGTTGAAAGTTATTTTTATTTACAATAATGTTATGACAAGTGGTACAACAAGATGACATTATTCATACAAGAAGACCTAGAGATATTCCACATTCAAAAACTCTATTGCAGTCTACAAGGTAATTCAAGACGATTACTGTAACAGTCAGCCAAGACATACATGCCTCTCTTTTCCTTCCTCGGGACTCTAGGGTGTAGGTTTTACTGCCATTCCAAATTAGTTTCCTGTGCGTCTCCCCTCCATAGGTGTTAGTAGAACATACCTTTTGATTTTAAAAGTTCCTCATTGGCTGAGTGCCAGGGCCTATGCCTAGTTCAAATTGATCGAGAGGTGGCGGAGTTTTTCTAGAGCGGGGGAGCCCGAGAGGTGAAGCCTTTACCTCCTTCAAGACGGCAGACAACAATTTTCAGTGGGAACTGGGTTGTTATACGGGGTGGGTTATCAACCAGGAAAGCCACGAACACCAGCTTAGAAGCAGTATAAAAGTTATTTGTCTGTTATGAGTTCTCTGTACAGTTTGTAATCCATTATCCATGCCTCTAAAGGATAGATGGACCCTTTAAGAGGCATAGATAATGGAATACAAACTGTACAGAGAACTCAAAATAGACAAAAACCTTTTATACTGCTTGTAAGCTGGTGTTCGTGGTTTTCCTGGTTGATAACCCACCCCGTATAACAACCCAGTTCACACTGAAAAGTGTTGTCTGCCTTCTTAAAGGAATTAAAGGCTCCTCCTCTCGGGCTTCCCCGCTCTAGAAAAACTCTGCCTCCTCTTGATCAATTTGAACTAGGCATAGATCCTGGCACTCAGCCAATGAGGAAGTGTTATAATCCAAAGGCATGGTCTTCCCAGGCAACTGGGTACTACCAAGGAGGGGAGACACACAAGAAATTAAATTGAAATGGCAGTGAAACCTACACCCTAGACAGTCCCGAGGAAGGAAAACAGACCTACATGTCTTGGCTGACCATTACATTACAATAACAGAAATTTTAAGCATTTCCAGAATGGAATTTACCTTTTAGTGTTTCAATTAGTTGTTTTTACAGTTAACAAAAATCACAACCTTAAAGCAGGTTAGTACTCAAACTGTAATCCTTATATCTGCCTATGATACAGTATGTATGGACTTTAGACATTTGTACCCAAATTAACAAAAAAATTAAGCCGAATGTACAGTACATTATTCGACAAAAGTAGGAGCCGTGGTGCTCGAAGGGGGTGCATACTTATGACAAAAAGTATAATAGTTGTGTGGGTGAAATATGCGAGACAGAAGTTAGCGCCAGATATGTGACATTAGGGGGCTCCCCAGCGGCACAGAGCTAGTAGGCTCATTTTGCCTTGGGCATTCATAGTGAGTGGTTAGTTATGTTGCACATCCCACTCTGGCACCTTGTCTGTTGTTGCAGTTGACAGTGGTGGCTTGTTAGTACTTTGGTGTGTGCCATAACAATGTAATACACCAATACCACTTAACTGCGAGGTGTCAAAAGTGGGACGCGCACCATAACCACTCGCTATGAACGGCCAGGGCCAAATGAGCGTACCAGGTATGTGCCTCTGGGAAGCCAGGAAACACCCTGACATTATCTTCTGTCTCACTTATTTCGTCCACACAACTATCTATCTTTTTATGCCATAAATGTGCACCCCTTTGAGCACGGAGGTCTATACGTTTGTGAAGTACAGTACTATATACTGCACATTCTTTATGTGCAGATCGAACTTAAAAGTTATTTTGATAATTTAAACTAATTATGTTTACAAAAGTCTTAAATTTATTTTAAAAAGTTGTCATTTACTGTCCTATATTTAACAAAAGAATGTATATAAAATGCAGCCGAAGAGTTACAATAACGTGGCTGAAAAAAGGATGACCCAAGCACAACTTGGAAGATGGAGAAGCAGTGAGATTTCAGTCCCTCCTAGACCATTATCAAGTCATGTGATACAAGAGAGGAAGGTATAGGCAAATATATAAGGTAAGAGAGTAAGATGAGAAGAAAGTGGGTTAAGCTTTGCCCCTGTTGCTTATTCTTGACATCAGATCATATATGTTAAATAGGTTGTAGTATTTAAGTACATACCGAGAAAGGGAAGTCACCCAACATTAACCTTAGTCCAGACTTTGTTGTTAGGTTGTTTATCAGAGCTGAATTGGCACGATGGCATCTGCTCTTCAGAGGAAGGAAAGATGATTTTAGAAAATTTTGAACCTAATGAATAGGATGATTAGAATCCCTAACATGATAGAAGAGAGCATTGTTTGTGTCTGTAGACTTGACACTTGTTTTGTGTGCCTTAAGTCTGTCATTTAGTGTACGGCAACATTTGCCAAAGTATCGGAGAGGACAAGACGAACAGGAAATAGAGTAGACACCAGCAGCAGTGTGAACCAGATTTCTACGAAGAGAGTTAGTTTTTCAAAAGGCAAGCTTCACATCAAGAGGATGAAGGATATTAGTGAGATTTTGGAGTTCAGATATAAAGGGAAGTCAGAGCACAGTGCTAATTGTGTTGGAAGGAGGTTGAGGATGAAAGAAATGTTTAGCTTGAGAATAGGCACAGTTGATAAAATGTAAGGGGTATCCAAGGTGAGAGAGATTCGTAAATAAAGGGAATTTCAGAATCGAGAAACTGAGGGTCACTGATGCATGGAACGCGGAGTAAGAGAGAGACGAGAACAGTTGTTTTTAACAGGATCAGGATGGTAGGAAGAGAGGTGAATGTACATAGCACTGCACGAGTTTGTGGTTGACAGAAAGAGAACCCAGACACAGAGCTGTTAACGTGAACATCAAGAAAAGTAAGGAGGGAATTGGATCCCATTCAAGTTTGAAATTTATGAGCCAGATTATTAAGAGAGGAATGGCTTGAAAAGACTAGGGTCATAGATCACGTTTGCTCTCTGGTGCCATGACCATAGTCTTTTCCAGCCTTTCCTGTCTCTCTTAATAATGTGGCTCCTATCAATTTCAAAGTTGAATGGGATCCAATTCCCTCCTTACTTTTCTTGATGTTCACGTTAACAGCTGTGTGTCTGGGTTCTCTTTCTGTCTACCACAAACTCATGCAGTACATTCACCTCTCTTCCTACCATCCTGATCCTGTTAAAAAAAATGTTCTCATCTCTCTCTCTTACTCTGCATTCTATGCATCAGTGACACTCAGTTTCTCGAATCTGAAATTTCCTTTATATCTCTCACCTTGGATACCCCTTACATTTTATCAACTGTGCCTATTCTCAAGCTAAACGAAATTTTTCATTCTCAACCTCCTTCCAACACAATTAGCACTGTGCTCTGACTTCCCTTCATATCTGAACTCCAAAATCTCACTAATACCCTTCATCCCCTTGATGTGAAGCTTGCCTTTTGAAAAAACCAACACTTCATAGAAATCTGGTTCACACTGCTGCTGGTGTCTACTCTATTTCCTGTTCGTCTTGTCCTCTCCGATACTTAGGCAAATCTTGCCGTACACTAAATGACAGACTTAAGGCACACAAAAGAAGTGTAAAGTCTGTTGTCGACTCTTCCCTTTCACAGTATATACTTAAATGCTCCAACCTACTTAACAAATATGATCTGATTTAAGCTTTGCCCCCTTTCTTACTGTCTACTCACCTCTCTTCTATCACATGACTTGATAATGGTCGAGGATGGACCGAAACGTTGCCGCTTCTCCATCTTCCAAGTTGTGGTTTGGTCATCATGTATATAAAATAATTTAGGATGTATATTTCTTGCATGTAACCCGAGTTTCATATGTATAGTTTTCAAAATATTGTTACTGTACATAGGTAGGTAAATAGCCAAGAAAGTTCACAAGTATAAATATTTACCTAATAACTAGAGTAAAGCAATTAACTTGTCAAATCACTGCATTCCATGGCTACACTAGTTACAATGTTTTCCACTTGTTCATATTTTCCAGAGACCATAGTCTGCTATAATAAAAATCATGTGAAAATAAATTAGCCATTCCATATACATACATACGTGGCAACACTGTATTACTAAAGTCCATATTCTGTTCAGTTTATTTGTTTATCACTGTAGTGTTAATCTGGCAGGTACTCCATCAACTTCCATCTTGGACCCATGGATGAGGTGGTATTCCCGCTTAACATGTGCAAACAGGAGATCAGTAACAAGGAATATCTGAAATATAAGTAATAGACATCAGTTGGCTGCAGACAATGCTTAAAATGTTTAGAATCATGTTTGGTTTTCTCTTATTTGTTGGGTTACTCTAACTATAAATTTGGTGTCAATATTTGACAATGCATTTGACAAATATAAATGCATTTCTTGCATCTGCAAAACTAGCAACTGTATAGAGAACATAACCAAGAACAAAAGTTTATTTATAACATTATACACAACACCGATGAAGATGCGAATATTTATGAATACAGTAGCAATATGATGACGAGTTTTACCATCATTGGAACGCTTACTGTCACTGTCGGAGTAAAGATGACATGTTTTAGTGTTGTGTCACTGGAATAGCAAAGTTTTAACATACAGACCTACAATATTCCTCCCTGCATCCTATTTACTCTATCACTTGTATAGGTATTAAAGAAAAGAATCCTAACCGATCCTGAAATATCTGGTCTGGGTTTTAGTGAATGCTGCATTTGCTTCTGTAAGTAGGCCATTTATGGAAGGGAATGCATTTATTGTTAGGCCTTGTAAATATTATGTACTACCTATCTTAATGGTGGTTTAGTATTTTCTCAAGACTCAACATTACAATCTGTTGTGCCAAATTGTGCCTAGCATAGGCGATTGGATTTCATGGCAAGCACTTTTCTGTCTCCATTCGGGCTGGTAGCTCTATATTGAAGAACAGTTTGAAAGATTTTGCTGTTGACATACATGTCTGTTGATCCTGTCCAGAGGCCTGAAGGACCTTGCTTTATTAAGCAGGCAAAAGGGATACCATTAGAAATAATCATGTGCAAAAATTGTCTTCTTACCAGGGATATCTAATTACATACCTAGAGATTATTGTTATATTTCCTGTGAAATGGCAACCACTGCTTTTCCCTCTAGTAATATTTATCAAACAGTATTAATTATAGTACTTTACCTGTGCGGTGTTGAAAGCAAGGGTAACGGCAAAGTAAAAATTGGCATTAGCCGATCCATTGAAAATCCACAGATTGTACATAATAGGTCCCAGAACAGATGTAGCCACAAACATACACCCAACGATGAATGTTTGGCGCATAACTGCAAAGAAAGATTGGTACAGTACAGATTATTTAAATATTCAATATTTATCAAATTTATAAGTGCTATAAAAGCCTTAGCAATTAATACAAGACTACATTATAAATTGATTGAACTCACATGGATATAAGTGTTTCCACATTGGCAGTAGAGCCATGTAGAGGCCCACGTCCCCAAGTGCTGGGTAACTTCTAAATACAGCTGTAAATGCTAACAAGGCTGCTGCTAGCAATACAGGGTCATGGCGTAGGCGAATTGAAAGTGGCAGCACATACACGAAAGCGTTGATTTGAAACGTTGCAAGAAAGAAGAGGCGAAAGTGTTCAAACATCTCGGTGAAGAAGTACCAGAAAAGACCAATGTTTGGTGTTAAATCAGGAGCTGCCAATCTGTGGAGATGAAAACATCAATTAAAATCCAACATTAATTTTTGTAATATTTTCATGCCGAACATGTTTAAATTTTACATATACGTACTAATATTTAAGTTAATTACTTTTCTCTGTACAAAAGGGATATAAAAAAGTACAGTTAATTGTCAATCAATTAAGATATTCCCACACAGTCATGTCTCAAGGATACAAAAATAGAGCTTTAAGTGTAATGGAATGTTACTTTCTGGCAGTGCCTCAATAGCTTCCCTGAGCTTACTACACTGGTATTCCAGGGTAACAATCTGAATGATGTCGAGTCATTGGGAGCAAGAACCAACATTCCCCCCCCCCCCCTCTTCAGGATGGGAGAGCATGTGTGAATCACAGATCAATTAATAATCCAGGTAAAACATCCTAAAACCCAGAAAACCTCACTTATTTCAGGATTTTGTTTTAGACCATCGAATTACCAAATCAAATTCTGTAACAAGCAAAAAATCTCCCCCCCCAAATGCTCTCATAGCTACCAAGTGGCGACTTGGAGCCACCGTTTGACCCCTCCAGAAAACAGGGCCGAAATTGTGCTAAAAATATAAATCGCACGACAAACACTAAACACACAACTTGAGTCACGTGGCAATAGGTGAATGCAGAAGCAAAAGAGCCTGGTATAGTCTCCTGGCACTTGTGTTAACAGTGCCAGTAACATCTGGTGTGGGTTGTGGTAGTGGCCAGGTAGCCAACAACTAGCAGTGTCTTTGAAGCCAAATACAGTATTGCTTGCTTGGAGGTGTTATTTGAGTGTACATTATTGTACAGTTATTGAATGAGCCTTCTGATAATTCTGACCTGGACTGAGCATTCTCCAATGTGTGTGTCTATGCTTGGGCCCAGCAGAAGCAGTTTGGAAAGTTCTCCATTGCTTTAGATATCTGAGGGTTGCACTGATCAGGCTGGAATTTGGCTATACCCTGGGAAGAGCTGGACATTGCTTAAAGCCGCAAACAAGGGACTTGTTTGCGGGTCAGAAATACTCAGAAAAACTCAGAAAAAGGTATGCTTTCTAGTTTAATAAATACAGTATGTATCAGCTTTCTACAACAGAGGTAAATGTGTTAGGACATTCTACTGCTAATATGCTTATTTGGACATTGAAATATATAACCATATATTTGGTAAAATATAATTTAATCCTTAAAGTAATATATTTTGAATTTTTTTTTTTTTTTTTATACAATGCATTGCTTTACAACTGCAATTTAGGTAATACTTACATAAAGCCATAAGTAGCTTCCATGAAATCCCATCCACCAGTAATTTCAGCAGAGATTATCATCAAAAACCCTAGTGAAACGATGAAGGAGGTCAACAGTTTCGTCACTAAGAAGGTTGCATTGTTCCCTTGGGAGAAACGTAGGATTCCTGGTACTACCAGACAAATTGGGTAGAAAGACTGATATGTAGAGAGAGCCACCAATCCCCCAAACAGCGCAGGGTAACCTGAAATGAGTTTTAGTATTATAAGACATACAATATTTGTTGTAAATTTAAATTCTGTACTTGATGCTCATTCTGTAAAATGTTTTCATGGCTTGTAAAACTGTGTACTAAAGATTTTGTTACCAACATCCACACTTCTTACCTTTCACCATGGAGGTAAATGCTGCAGCAAGAACAAGGTTGGCAAAAACAGTCGTAGTTTGGGCAACACATGAAGCTATTGTGTACGGGCAGAAGAGATATGCAGCTGCAACATACACTACACCAGACCAGAGAGATGAGGACGTCACAAGCAAGGGTGATGCATCACATGCGTACTTATCAACTTCCTTCTTCTGGTTTAAAAGCTGTTGACAAGACTGGCCATTAGCGTTTGATCTCCAAGAAGTTTTAGTTAATTCTAATGAAGTGCAACAAAAACCCTAATATAAGACTTTAAAATACAGTCAGGGAATAGAACTTTGTGTACAGAACTGGATCTAATAAAAGGAAAAGAAAAATTATACTATCGACACATACTATTAGTTTACTAATAACTGTGGCATTAATTTCAGAAACAAAGTACTACAGCATATGGTGCCCTACCATATGATGGTGACTTCTGTAACAGTAGAACTGTAATACAGTACAGATGAGTTTCTGTATAATATCACCCCTTATCTCGTGTTGTTCTTTCCTTGTTTTCTCCCCTTGGTGGAGGATTCTTTTTCTTTTTGTCACCAAAAGCGGCTTTGTTGTTGGCTCTGGGTTTTGGTAGTTGCATTTGGAAACCTCATGGTCTTCACTACAAGAAAGGGTTTTGTTGCTTTCTTTCTAGGGATTGCTCTCTTTGTCTTATTGTGGCCAAGAATGACTCCTCTGCCTTTCATCAAGATCCTCTAGTCATAGATGCTGGTTTGTCTTATTAAGGGTACATCGTACCTTCTGTCCTGTTGCCAAGGAGCAGTGTAATTTGAGTCATTCTTAGCTCCCAAGCTGTTACTCTTTTTGTCAATTCCATTTCGTTGGTGTCTTGTTGCAAGGCAAAGTTTTCTCGGGTAATCAGTCGGGTGGTTCAATTTAGACAGCCTGATATGTATCCATGTGCACATGATGTACACAAGTATGCTGTTATTACTAGTTTCTTTGCTAATATGTCTATGAGTAATATTTGTGCTCAGGGTTTTTGGAAACCTAACGTATTGGTTGCTTATTATCTTCTGGATGTTCTTCACCCTTACTGATGCTGGGATAACGCTTTTTATGTCAGAGTTCATCTTTTCCCGAGTCATGGGTTTCCTGCCTTCTCCAAGTATACTGTACCTTTATTACCATTTCTTTTAGCCCAATGTGAGCTTCTCCATGGCACAGTAGTGTGTGTACACTGGGAAAACTATTGAGGCCAACCCAGAAGTCACGCACTGAATGCATTGAAATGTGTTTTCCTGGGCAGCCTCAGCAGGTCCCCATTTCTGCCCTTCCTGTGATAATTGGGGCTATTTTTGGGCAATGATAGCTTGTAAACGATTTGGGCAGGCAGGTGAAACCCTTGGGTGACCTGCACTGCCATTTGGTAGTGCATTTTAATATTAGTGCATGGGTTGTTAATATTGGTTAGTGCTGCTTCCCTTCTTTCTATTTTTCTGTTTTATTTAGACGGTTTGTTTTCCTTTGCTCAAGTATTACAATAAATAGAATCCATTACATAGTCATGAAACACATGAGAATCCTAATACCATTTGCAGATGACAAAATAAATAAAATATGCATATATTAGCAGTAGTACAAGAAAAGTAGTAGTTTAAGGTACATTCAAATGTGAAGCAATATTATGGACAGTTACCTGTAAGTACTGTAGTGCAAATTTTTTATTACTGTGTAATACAGTAGTAAAAAGAAAATAATGTGATAGGGAATGAGATGAATAGTATGTAAAACCTTGCAGTTTGAAGACAATAAAAGCAAGAAACCTACTCACCAGTTGTTTGCTATATGATGCAGCCACGGAGGCCAAAAGAGCGGCAGTAAGGAGATCACATGCAACAAACAATAGTGAAAGATAGGCTTGCCATGACCTGTGGAAAATACATTACATATGTACAAATCTGTTTTCAGATGTATTTATTTAGTAGTTGTCCATTATATTTTAGATTGAAATTCAAATCTTGCAGAGTGAAATTAACTCATAGGGCAAGGGAAATGCATTCTGGTGGCATCTCTGGTTGCAATGAATTGGGGTGGGTCCCATATATTTTCTTGAATTGAGGTTGTACTGTACAGTATACATTGACATACTGTACATACAAACACTTACATCTCTCGTACTTTAAAAAGGCAAGAGAGCTGCTATATAAGAAAGTCAATTATTAAGCACTCTACCACAGAATGTGATTAAGATTATTTTGTTACAAGTTATAATTACATCATATTGCATAGTTATCCTGTTCCATAACTTGAATATTTGTTGTCAGTCTGCCCCAAATTACACTTACTGTATTAAAAAATAAGTACAGTATGGTATATATTCATTATAATAATATACAGATTTAGTATATCGAATTGTAGTACAGTATATAGCTTTTGGCTGATGTGTCCTTCAATAAAGAATAGTATTATCTCACCTGACTAGGAAACCACCAAAGAACAGACACAATGGTGTTTCATGGAAAACACCCCCACTGTACACAGGAATACCCTGGGAATGTAGGAACACTCCCTCCTGCACTGCAAAATAAAAATCAACATGATTTGTCAACAAGTTACATATATTCAATCATTATCAAATATACTGCATTACATATCAAACCAAATGCTGTATACAGTATAAATTTAATCACCATGATTGAGCACTATCACATCGTTTATTAGTCACTCTCCCATTTCACATACAGTACAATTTTGTACCAGTGTGTGGTACCTGACATTTGACTTGCCCTTAGATTCTCAGTTCATCATTATAATTGATGAGACAGATCAGCAAAGGTTATTATCAGAATTGTGAATTTTAACATTTTGTTGAAGCACTGAAGTAGTACAAATAAGCTAATTACATATTATATATAGAATTCAATAAATTTGTATCTCAATAGAGAAATACACTGTATTGAGACGAATCATGTTAGAATCATTAATTTTACCCTTTCAGTCATATTCAACACTAGTGTATATATAGATTTATATATACTGTAACTGTTAGTGTAGTTACCCAAGTGAATGACTAACAAATAATAAAGACTGAACTGTTCTTACCCCTCTTCCAAGAGTTTAATGGTGTCGAGAGTTCTACACGCTTAGCAATGTACTCGGCACTAGAGGTGCTCATCAGCCATAACCGCACTGCTGCTCCCAATAGGTACATTACCCACATGCCACTAATCATCTTAGTGTTTGTCCTTCACCACACACCTCTGGAGGAGAATTGTTATTTACTGTATGTCTTAATACTATGGTAGTTTTAAATTAAGAATAAAATAATGTTAATATACTACAGTACACAAATAATTAATGTTAACAAAGATCAATGTGATAATTAATAGCACATTATCAAGCTTATTATCCCTTCCCCTTATGTTCTTTGTACACCCATTCAGTAAAAATTAATAATTTGCAATTGTTAATAATATGAATAATACTTATTGTTATTAATAACAACAATAATAATAATAATAATAAGTAGTAGGAGGTAGGTGCGAGTCAAGCTAGAGGTGGGTAAAGGCCTGAGACTTTGACTTGTCTTTTGGTTTGTTTTTTGTACTCTTGATATAGACGTGAAATTACAGTAGTGTATTGAAAAAAAAAGTTATGCAAAAAGAAAAAGCTTAAAGTACTAGAACAGAGAAAGTGAGAGTTAAGCAATACAGTTATGATGAATAAATAAGAGAGAGCATTTAAGAGTTAAGAGTTAGACGAGTGATACAAAACTCATTAATTTACGAATCTAAATACCGTACTGTAATTGGGATTAGTACACTGTCAGTATGACATACACAAGGCATAAAAAAGGATTAGTGTAAGTGAAAACAATAGCTGGATCAAAAATGGAGAAATGAGCATAAAATTAGAGATGTAGATAAAAATGTTCAACTTCTGAATTCATTACTTGAGAAATGGATGTGTTATAACTACTTCATGAAGGAAGGGCATGCAGGGATAACAAAATAATAAAGATCACAAGGACTATATACAAGAGTCATGTAATGGGAGGGTATAATAATAGCAATATAACCTGCATGTTGGAAGCTGAGAGTGGAGATTAAGATGTATACAAAACTTTCACAATAAATTCTCAACGTGGTAAAATGCCAGGTAGGTTTGACATTGTCAAAGTATAAATAGCAACAACAACAATAACAACACTTCAAAAAAGTAACAATAATCAAAGTGTCAAAGTAGCAATGAGTTACTGTCAAATGATTGATAGTACCTTGTGGTTACGTTGTGATAGTTTTGTGGGTTTGTCCCCCAACATTTCCTAACTTTTGACCAGGTGACATGGTTGATGGTCTTCAGGTCATGCAATGTTGGGATTGGGCAGTAGGTGAATGACAAGTGTGAAGACAGGCTCACCCTTGGCAAATTTCAATATACAGTACCTAACAAGATTGTGTGGGCCAGCAATGATATAGTCATAGTAAGACAGTATGTCAATATATTCATATTAAACAAAAGTAAACCAAGGATTTGTTTGTTTTAGATTAACTAGTATTTACAAACTAGCTTGTGTAAACAACTGGCAAAAGGTTTTTACAAACAGGTTTCTGTAATACACCCTTCCTTTGCCAATGTTTTAGGAGTACAGTCATAGAGTACCTAGCAATATCTTGTGTTATAATACAAAGACTTCTAGACGTTATTTTGCTAATTGGCTTGGTTTTATGGTTTTGCTACTAGATATTGAGCTATTAGGGCTGTGGTTACTTTTGGTTTGTATGAAGTTATAAAAGGGAGGGGGGGAGGGGCAATGACCTGCAAATCTTTAATTACTCCTGAGAAAATGGTGCACTGTGTCTTATCAGGTCCGCTCTCCAACGATGACCATACTAGCAGCCTATCGTGGTGTAATTTCTGCAGAACACAAAGAAAAAGACGGATAAAACAAAACATCAACTCGTTTGCAAGGAGGTGGATCCATCCTTCGCTCTCTTCCCTTATATTATAATCATGAACAAACTGCAAGATTAGAATGTTCACAAATCGGGTAATTAATATAAGGAGTTTAACTACTTTAATTATGATGGTTACCTTCAAAACAAGACTCTGTGCCGGCACAGCTGATTTGTTTACAGTCGCGAACCATTCAATTGTTCGGATGATCACTGGCGTCGTTTTAACATTTGAGTTTCTGTCTAGGATTTATTTAGTAATGCATATTGTTTGAAAAAAATAACAGGTTATTAATAAATATTGTACTTGAAAAAAATAATTTTTCTTCAGAATTTAATATATTTATTAGAAATGATGAGATGTAACCTTACATGTTAACACGTACGAACAAAATATATTTTCCCATTTTCTACTAAAAGAATATTAAAGAAAACATACAGCTGTGACTAACTATATTTTTGTTATCCACAATAAGTGACAGGAAAACAGACTTATCGAGATAACCTTTTAACAAATCATTGTGTCTGGGGCCAGGCAGCCATAGTGTATTCATACACGTTAGCCTTACATCGAGGTTCCTCCGAATTACTGAACGTTAACGTTATGTAACCCCATAAGAAGCTGAGAAACTCCCGAGTGCCTCTACCTACTGCTAGGCGAACTAGATGCAATAGGTGATAAGAAATGCGGGCAACAACTTGTGTCCCGACCAGGCACACACTTGGTCCGGGAGACATCTCCCGTCACGCAGGGTGCAGTCGCGCCTCCACAGATCTCCAGTATCAGCTCTTGATACTGGTAATGGCTCAAAAGGGCCACCACGTACGGGCTATTCATGGCCGTGCCACCTCTTGGGTGGCTTAATCTTCATCAATGAATCAATCACTTGTGTCCCGGCCAGGATTCGAACCCGGAATTCTCATGAAGCAATTCTCTGACGCAGGTTCGAATCCTCGTCACGGCGTATGTGGATTTGTTAATTTGATGCATCACGCTATTGTAATTTTTGTGTGTAATAGTGTATTGTAGTGTAGTGTAGTGTCTGAATTATCGATTGCGAGTCGAAAACTAACTCCACCGTACTAGCAGGATCCTTTTGGCTAATTAATTTAAGAGCTTGTGACCAAATTGAACTTTCCTTGACCCAAAGGCCAATAGTTGTTAAAAGAAAACATTACGTGTTCTCACTCCTGAATTACATGAAATAATATAGCGATGAAATTGTGCACTTATGATTGAAGATGGTTTACAATAATAAATCCAACCTGTTCTTGGGATAATATAGTAAATATTTCACAATGTTCATAATTCCTAAACTGCTAATGTTCACAGTTTGCCTGTGGTAGATTTACAGTTATTAGCAATCACCAGAGACTAACCCTTCCTCCAATGCTGTAGTGTAGCGTGTACTGCACTGTCCTATACTTATTGTACTATACTGAACGGTACTGTAGTGTATTGTACGGTACTGTACTGGACTAGACTGTACTGTACTGGAGTGGACTGTACTGTACCCTGTACTTTACGGTACTTATCTTACCTAGCTTATCGTAGCCTAGTCCAGTGTAGGTTAGCTTGCTTAGCTTACTTTAACGTAGCATAATATAGGGTCATTTTATAAAAAAAACGCCTCACGAGTGTTCAAATGATGAAAGTGTATCGCACGAGCGGTTTATTATTAAAAATGAGTGATGAGTGGAAAAATGTGTAAGACTATTTGATTGCATGCTAAATGTAATCGTTTTTACTAGTTGCAGTGTGCATGTATGGCTTAAATCACGTATATAAATATACATTGGTGCTGTTTAGAGAGGAAAATGAACGGTTGTAAAGGTAATATTGCAATAACAATGGTCGTTAGTGAAACTAGCGTCAGTTTCTGACCAGGGGGAAAAAAGACAAAGGGCCGAATGGGCTTAAATTTTTTTATTAGTAAATTAAATTATGCAGAACATGTAAATAATATAAGTAGGAATTAACAAATGTAACATGTCCATGTCTGAGGACTAATTAACTTAAAATGTACCCCCGTAGTAGTAAGCATAGCCTAGACATGGCAAACACGTTCTGCAGAAACCTAATGGCAGATGAAATATAATTAGAACTAGGTATAACAGTCAGGACACAAAGGGGGAAATAAAGTGTATAGACAACACTTAACGGAGCCCTACCAAGACAATGTGAAATCCTAGAATTAACAGGCGGGCAGAAAATACCTAGTGACTGGGGAAAACCGATATGACAAATGGGAGAAGTTTTTCCCAGGGCGTGAGGCCGGCCGGCAAGGAATAAGAAGTGTTTGCCGACTCTTACTAGCACCTAGACTGGGCAAAGGATTAGCTGCGGACAGCGGGACACTTGGGGAGCGGCGCTGCACCCCCCTCCCCACTTGCGGTGGGGAAGACAGGGACAGTGGCACAAAGCATGACTGGGAACTGACACTTTCATGAAGGGGAGGCGGGTGGGAGTTCCGAGTACTGCGGCGGTCGGGTGGAAGTGAGGGGGAGCCCCTCTTTGCCTCAGAATTTATATGGCCCCAGACTTCCCGCGCATGTGCGCGGGGCGCACTGCACAAGTGTTTATTTGTCCCCATCTTCAGAAACATGTCCGCTTTGTATTTCAAAGCAGAGGCCATTTCTGGCCGAAACGCTGCGCGTACTAGTGGCTTTACAAGATTGTAAATAATATGCTATGTATTCTCTCAAACCCAATGGACCTTGTTGTATATAAATAAATAAATAAGTTGTTATACACCGTCATTGGAGCAATCTCTTCCCTCGCCATCTCACGTGAAAATTGTGCATATTACGCCTTGTTACATTCAAGAAACAGTTATTTAAGTAGAAAAAATGATAATGGTGATGCCGTTGCTCCATTTGAAAGGCAATTAACGAACTGTGAGTGTACGGTAGTGTACTGTTGTGCCGTATAGTGTACTGTACTGCTCTGTACTTGATTGTAATGTAGTGCACTGTAGTGTTTTGTACTGAACTGTACCGTACTGTACTCTATTATACTGTACTGGATCATACTGTAGTATTGTGTAGCATAGTGTACTGTACGGTACTGTACTTTTCTGTATTATACAGTACTGTAGTTGACTTCACTCTACGGTACTGTACTATACTATGCAATAATGTAGTGCACTATACAATAGTGTACGGCAGTGTTCAGTAGAGTACAGTAGTATAGCATAGTGTACTGTATTTTAGTGTACTCTCTACTATAGTGTACTGTTAGTGTAGTGTACTGTACGTAATTGTATTGTAGTGTAATGTAATGTACTTGACGTTAGTGGAGTATATTGTATTGTAGTGCATTGTACTGTACTGAACTGTACCCTGTACTGTACTCTGTACAATACTGTATTGTACTGTACGGTATTGTAGTGTACTGTACCCTGTACTCAAGTGTAGTGTACATTATTATAGTGTAGGGTACTGTAGTGTATTGTACTGTAGTCTTTTGTAAGTTAGTGTATTGTACCGGACTGTAGTGTAATGTATCGTGTACAGTACTACAGCGTACTATACTGTAGTATATTGTAGTGTACAGTACTTTACTACAGTGTATTATATTTTACTGTAGTGTACCCTGTAGCGTACATTAATGTACTGTACTGTACCCTTGACTGTACTGCATGTTATTGTTCAGTACGGTACTGTACAATACTGTACTGTACCGTGTACTCTAGTGTATTGTAGGGCACTGTACCTTGTAGTGTACTGTTATGTAAGGTAGTGTACTGTACTCCACTTTACTGTAGTGTACTGTACTATACGATACTGTACTGTTGTCTATTGGAGTGTAGAGTACTGTACCCTTGGCTGTTGTGTATCGTAGGGTACTGTAGTGTATTGTATAGTACTGTACTGTATTGTAATGTATAGTAGTGTACTGTTGTCTACCGTAGGGAACTATACTCTACAGTAGTGTAATGTATAGTACTGTAATGTATCGCACCGCAGATAAGTGTACTGTATTATAGTGTAGTGAGTTTTAGTGTAGTTACAGGTTAAATAATTAATGTGAATATATACTAATGATAATACTACTTATGTAATAGTAATTAATGGAAAGTCATAATTTGTGAGTGCAAAGTAAAGTATTGTTTGTCATACATTTGGTATATGTATGTTTCTCATACATTGGGTATACATTTTGGTGTATATATTGAAGTGTCAATAAATAATGTGCATGAATTAGTGGAGTATCCAATTTGGTGGAGCCGACCAATGACATACAGCGTGCGAGAATGTGACGTCAAGTGAAAAATCGAAACGTGATTGGCTGTTGAGTCGACGTGCTGGGCGAGGAGTAACGGAACGTTATTTTGACCCTAGTATTCGCAAAGTACGGGTGTACAAGTTAGTGTTAGGGCGTGTTGTTACTCTGAGCTGGTACCCCGTTACCCTTTTGGGGTCGCTAGGGCTGACAGCCCCCTAGCTTACACTAATTTTGTACACCGTCATAACG